TGAATCAATCTTCGAGTCTCTTTGCAAGATTACTACCCGCATGAATAGGCAGGCAAATAAAAGTTTTGGACAAAGCAATCAAAGCGAACTCTCGGGACATTTTTCGGTGAATGATAGAGGCTGAAACAAAGTGTGCTTGGGTGTGACTTTGATACAGTGACTATGACACAGTTTAGTTTCAGTAGGAATTTTACGGCACTTGTAACACAATAATATGGTCAAATAAGAGCTGAATATTAGCGGTGTAACAAGAGAGTAGCCTAATACAAAAAAAAAGAAGTAGAGATAAAAGAACGATAAATCGTTTTTACGAAAGAATTAACAAACAACAATAGAGCACCCGCCAACCCCCCCACTTTGGCACGGAGAAGTTGAGACTTTGAAATATAGATATGACTGTTAAAGTACCATTCCTTCTAGTAATTAATTATTTAAAATTTTACATTTGAAAATAATTGTTTTGACGTTCAACGAGGCTTCATTCGATTTTGTCCAGATGTAAAGATTTCTTCATTATCACAAATCGTGTGTGGCATTATCCTTCGACCTCTTTCTTCACCCTTTCTTTTCAATTTTCAACTCCCTTCTCAATTTCCTTTAAAAAAATTGTTTTCAATTCTTTATTCCGATCTTGTATCTCGTTCACAGGGACAGCTCTTATCTTTCACCTGAGAAGCGTCATAGTTATTTCCACTGAGGAGACAGAAGGAAGGTTTAAAAAAAAAAGAAAGAAAAGAAAATACCATTCGTGCAAGGAAGAAAAATTTGTTCAGTAAACACTAGAATAGAAAGACAAACTTTGAAAGCAAATGGAAGCTTTCCCTCCTTTTATTATGTTTTTTTTAAAAAATGAGGTGAGTTGTGGAGTGGGGATACGTTGGGGGAGGGGGGGGGGGAGAGAGAGAGAGAGAGAGAGAGAGAGAGAGAGAGAGAGAGAGAAAGGAGGAGGGGGGGGGGGGGGGAGAAGGGGCGCGAAGGTCATTTTGTCCGTATCTCTCTAAACGAATATAGCCTGGGGGGGGGGGGGGGGGGGAGAAGGGGCGCGAAGGTCATTTTGTCCGTATCTCTCTAAACGAATATAGCCTAACAATTTCAGTTTTAAAAAGCGACAAAAGTCACAGGATTTGAGTCATATTTTGAAATGAGGTTTAAAGAATCTATGATTTTCTTTGCTTTAAACACAATATGGTTTTTAAAAATGTATATAAATCAAGCTTTCAATATTAAACTGAACTATCGAAATTACATTTAAAAATGACGG